AGAAACGCAAAGAAAAAGGCAAAGACGCGACTCAGCTTACTATTACTGTGGACAACCAGAATCCTCTTTTAGGTAAACTACTGCTTGACACTGCCAACTGACATTTCCCACTTGATACTAATCAACTACATTTTTTTACACTTCAGCAATCTAGATCCCCAGCAGGAAGTGCTATTGCCTCACGGCGATTTAATCTCAACGGTAGCCAACGGTTTTGAGGTTGTGGGAAAGTCAGAAAACGTCATCGTCGGTAAGCCTTTTTGTTCCCGTCTTTTTTCCTCAGTATCTCTTCATTTGTTATTGTTTTGGCAGCCATTGCAAATGTAGAGAAAAAACTGTACGGAGTTCAGTTCCACCCTGAAGATGACCGTTCCACAAACGGCAAAGAGATGTTGAAGAACTTTCTATTCAACGTGGCTGGCCTCTCGGGCAACTTTACCCTGAAGTCTCGAGTAGACAAAAGCATCGACCGCATTCGCCAGTTGGTGGGCACAAGCAAGGTTTTTGTAAGTTCGGTGTTATTTTAAATTTTTGTTTACTAATGGTCAACAATTTGCGTGTTAGGTACTGGTCAACAGTGGCGTCGACTCGGTGGTCAGTGCCACTCTCCTGCAGNTGAAGGCACTCAATGCTGACCAAGTGATTGCCCTCTTCATCGACAATGGTCTCATGCGCAAGAACGAGAGTATCCTGGTGGAGGATTCACTGAAAAACGTCAGTCTCACCATGATAAGTATGTCGATGTAGTGTACCGTTTAGCGAATTCCAAACTGACTTTTCTTATCTCATTTCTATAGCCATCAAGGCCTGGCTGCAATTCTGCAACGCCACAACAACAATTTTCCTCTCAAAAGAGGAACCGAATAAGAAAGTGGTCACAAAGGTGCTCTGCCAGACGACGGCTCCGGAAGAGAAGCGCCACATCATCGGAGACACCTTTGTCCGCATTCTCAACGACATCGTCTGCGACCATTTGAAATCGAATTTAGGGCAAACAGTTTTTTTCAGTCAGGGAACCGTTTTTAAAGTACTGAACATGGGTGACCCTCCCGCTAAATCGGCAGAGAGCACTACAAACGAGGACGCCTTAAAAACGTACCCGCAGCTTGAGACTAAACTGGCGAAGAGCCTGCAGAGCAACG